GGCTGCAATATAACAAAGAGTGAAAAATTTAAGGGGGTCTGAATACTTTCCGTACCCACTGTATATATATATATATAAAGCATATAAAGTTATATAAAGAAAAATATAAACAAAAAAGAAAATCTCCCATTGACTTTAATTTTGCATATTGAATTGTGACAGCTGACAGAGGACAAGAATCATGAAAACTGTGATTCTAAACTTAAGTTTACACAAAACTTTTTTGTCATATTTATTTATTTATTTATTTGTTCTGGATTTTTAGAATTTGTATCGGTTTTCCAGTACAAATATCTAAACATTTTTAAATGTGTATACTTAGGAAGCATTATGACTTAAGGTATATTTAAAAATACCAGAATTAAGTTTATGCTTAAAACAAGAAAAAATAAATATCGGTAGCACTTTATTTTACAGTCCTGTTCCACGTGTACCTTGTACTTATTATGGTAATTACAATAACTGGGTAAGGTACTAACCACAAACCTACCCCTAAACTTAACCTTAACCTAATTACTTTCTTAAGTAAGTACACTGTAAGTACATGTAAGTGTGCATACTTAAAAATTTCAACCTAAATATCTGCCAATCAGGGAAGAAAAATCAACTTAATTCAAAGGGAAAACAAATTAATGTTTCTTGCTACACTGGCAGATATTTTGTCTTGTTGTAAGCAAAAACTTTTATTTATTTATTTATAGAAAAGAAAAGAAATAATTTACTTCTCAAGTAAATATATCTTGATTTAAGAATATTTAGATATTTGTACTGGAAAAGATCTTTTGGCAGTGTACTCTACTTTTTCCAGTTAATCCCTCTCATGGTCCATAAACTCCTTCATATTTGCTGCATATGGGGACTACAGTTTGGTAACAGCTGCATCACAGCATATTATGCTGATTGTATTTCACTGGTGTGTCCAAAAGCTGGGGAATGCTGAACAAGATGAGACAGGCAGTTGGAGTTATACATATGTCTACTGCATGTCCAGCTGTTTCTCTCGTATTGCAGTGGGTACGATTACACATAATTTACACATTGAGGTCTCCGAGATCAGAGTCCGCAGACCGTCTTTACCCAAGACATCTATTAGCCCTACCCTTCCACTATGTGCTTCCTCTTTCACAGGTCCTGATCTGTTTGTTGAGTATTGTCAGTAACCAAAGGGGTCAAAAACATCTGTACACGCAGGGATGGGCAGTATTTCAGATACATGTATTTAAAATACGTATTTTAAATACAAAATACTATTTTGTATTTTAAAGCCTTTGGAAAAAGTCAGATGTAATTTGTATTTAAAAACATTTAAGATTAGTATTTTTGTATTTTCAAAATACATAAAATACTCTGTGCCAGTCAACCTCTTTATCAGAGTGCTGATTTTGTGTATCAACTAGTTCAGACACGCCCCCTCCCCCCAACCTCAACATTCATGCATGTGAGCTGCAGCTGTACAACTCCATCCAGCATTGGGTGAGGGACTTTTCTGGAATAAGAGAAGGTGAGGATGTCATGTCAGTTGTACTTGTTGATTAAAGTTAAAATAGTGCATCATTTGCCTTCAGTTAACATGAAAGAATAAAAGAGCACCAGCAAAGGAAAGAAATAGCGTTAGCCAATCAGTTTTGATAGTTAATTGGTTGTTGTTTTTTATTATAAGTGCAGTATGCCGCGAAAGCAAATTCAAATTCACACTCACATGTTGGCAGGCAGTTTTTTGTGCGCACGCTCCAAGACGGAGTGGAACGCAGACAAGTAGATATACACTTTTGACTTAAAGGGGTGGTTCATTGCGATTTCACTTTTTTAATGTTAGTTAGTGTGTAATGTTGCTGTTTGAGCATAAACAATATCTGCAAAGTTACGAAGCTGAAAGTTCAATGCAAACGGAGATATCGTCTTTTAAAATTCTGGCAGTTTAATGCCTACAAAAACGGCTGGTAGGGACTACAACGAGTTACTCCCCGGGTTCGTGACATCACAAACCCAGATAAACCCCGCCCTCAGGAAAAGGTAGCAAAGGGGGCGAGGCCATGCTGCGCTGCTTTAGAGAAGAGGAAGAGTGCACGTAAAAATCTGTTCATACATGAATCGCGATTCTGTCTTCTAACGATTCTAATGGATTCACAAGTTTCAAAATCAATGTTCCTCTGCATCTCTCTCTCTCTCTCTCTCTCTCTCTCTCTCTCTCTCTCATTCAGCTCAGCTCCACAATGAACTGTTCCAATTATACACTTATTTTCACATAGCTATGAGAAGCATTAAACATGGACGCGCATGCGGTTGCTGTACTGTATTAAAGCTTTAATCAGGCTAAAACCGTATATTAAAAGCTAACATAAGCACTGCAGTAGCATTTACAACAGCGTATCTAAAAGTATGAGACAACAACAAACAAAAAACATAGGCCTACCATTAAAAGCCGTGCTTGCACAGGTTCTGCACGATCCTCTTCAATAATATCCTCTGCTTCTCAATCGGGCTCAAACTGATAAGCGATATTAACGACGTCTTTGTTTACAATACAACCAGAGCACATGCCGGGGCTTCATAAAAACAGGAAATGATCAGCGTGTTTCTCAGAGAAGGGACAGAGCTGTGTGGAATAAAGGTAAATGATGTGAAAAATAATGCGTTTTTTTTTTTTAACGAAGCATTAACACATGTTAGACTGCACCCCATAAACACAATCAAGCCTAGAAAAAACCCAGTGAACCACCCCTTTAAAGGCCCTTTCACACGGGACGCAGAAAGTGGTGGAATCACCGCTCAGCTGCCGCTTACTCTCGTAGTGGAAGCGGTTTGTGCAGTTGAAGCCATGTTTATACTTTTGCCTGCCTCTACAGTACACCGCGAGCCTGTAGACCGTGCGCTACTCCCTAAACGGATGCAGGTTTTTTTGGCACTTCCTTGACACTTTTTACACTTGCTCGCCTTTGTATAATTCTGTGAAACGACGACTCGGAGTAATTGTTCTCCAAACCATCAGAAAGCAGCAGTGAAAGTTTGCCAAGTAGTTTTTCAAACAATCATTTTGTGAGAAGTTTATGAATAAATGGATTTCTTCACATATAAACTGATAAGGTTGTGGGTCATTTTGGAGGACACATGTGAAAATGTGAAAGTACACTGCGTAAACCCACACAAAAGAATCAAATCGTGTAAAACCCAGTAAACTTGAGATTATGACTTGTGACATTAGAACAAAACATACTGTTTGAATATGATTACATATGTATAACACTAAATTGAACAATACTGATTGAACAATACTGATTATTGATTACAATACTGATTCAAACACTGATGAATGGTACACCACAAAAAAATCTTAAGCTTTTCTTTTTATTGTTCATCCAAAAAAAAAACTTTGAGCAAATAGTGTTAAATTCTAATTTTAAATTTACATTTTAGATAAACTTTCTAATTTGAATAAGCTTTAGTTTATATACAACAAAATAAACTACATGATATATATAATTTTTTGTTTTTTGCATTCAGAATAGGTCCATATAGATTTCAGCCTATAGGGATGCTTACATTGGATGGCCAATTTCACATGTATTTTGTGTATTTTCAAAATACTGTATTTGTATTTAAATACATTTTTCCACACAGTATTTTGTATTGTTATATTAAATACATTTTCATGTATTTATGCCCATCTCTGTGTTCACGCAGGCACTGTAAGAGGTGTTTATGGACTCGTTTTGTCTTAGACGACAGATGTGTGTGTGTGGTGTGTTTAAGAGGACTTGGAGGCTCATTAGTGAGGACGCAGACTTCACTTTGATTTAATTTACTACTTTACTATTACTAATTTACTACTACTCTCTCTATAGGTTCGATCTGGTCATGTGATCACGCTCAGTGCTAATATGTGATGTGTTTTATGTGAATTCTTCAGTTTCTTCATTAAAGTGTCCCAAGACATGAACCAAAGCAACCAGAGATGAATAACACTACAAAACCTTGATTTGAACAAAAAAGTGTGAAAATAGCCTAACTTTTTTTTGTTTGTTTAAGAACTAATCCAATTAAGTGTTGTGAATTATGTACAGAAGTTCAATCAAAAATTACAGTATATACATAGAATTTTTACTTTTTATTTTATTTTTACTTTTCAAGCTGAAAGGTGTACATTTTTAAGGAATTAAACACATTTTTAATAATTAATTTGAAATTACACTGACGTGTGACTGCTGTATCAACATATATCATATCGTAATCTCTGAGCTCAGAGTAGGTTTGTTTTGAAAGGTTTATGCAATATCATTAAAATCCATTCCTCTGTGGTGTAAATGAATGGCATTTTTACTTCTGGAACCCTACTGTTGTGCTCTATTGAGGACTAAGTGGGCCTTGTAGAAGCATTTCTCTTTAGTATAGCTGTGAAAAGAAACAGATTCATTCATTAATCTGTGGATTCCAGAGTATTTTAAAGACATAGTCACAAACAAGCACACGTGCACACACACACAGGGTAATTAAACTCACATCACATTTTTCATCTTGCATTCATTAATGAATTAGCATATTCTCTCTCGCTCGCTCACACACAAACATCCTTTAATAGAAACCATAGCACGTTACAAGTTGTAACATTTACATACAATTCGGTCAGGTCGTCACCATCTAGACTCCCCACAGTCAAAGCAAAAAGGGAAAACCTCTCTGATTTCCTGCACATTTTCCCTAAAACATCACCTCTTGTTCCTAATCTTATCTACCTTCCTAGCCTCTCTCTCATACACTCTCTTTGCCCTTTAAAACTCCTCTTTCTGCCCTCCTCCCCCCTCATCCACATCCTCTCTCGTTCTCATTCAGAAACAGATGCACCAGTACAGCAGCCAACTCACCCCCTCATTCTCTCTCTCTCTCTCTCTTCCTTTTTTTCTTTCAATTTGCATTCGCTTGAGTAAGCGTGCCAATGAGTTAACTTGGCATGCTTTAATGGACTACCATGGAGCATGCCCGATGCTTAAGACATCTGAGCAAAGAGTATGTGTGTACGAGTGTCTGTGGATTTACTTAGCTGTAGTTTGGGAACTAAATGAATGTGTCAAATCTGACGAAATTTCCCTCTGGTCAAGTCCACGAATGTTCTCAATTGGAAAATCAAATAATGGGTTATATGGTTTGTCCTCATTTACATACTGTAGGCTATTCAGGCCCTATCATTACTGTGCTTTTCAGTGATCTGCACCTGTCTGTACAGCACTGCTATGCACCGGCCAGGAAATGCTACTGAGCTTTAATACCGTCAAACATCAAGGCTCAACATGCTATCACTTTTTTCACCACCAATTAGGCTGTTTCTGTCCCCGCCAGATCTCTTGTAAGATGCACCAGGAGCATAACCCCTTCACACAGCTGTAAGATCACATCCAGACGGAGCGCTGCTGGCTCATGTGTCGGCGGAGATTCTTCACCTGGATCAAACTCAATTGCTGGCTCCGTTTGGCATTTTGCAAATCAGATCACTGAAAAGAGGTCACGATGTAATTGTATTTAGTCAAGAGTGTGTGCATGTTTAAATTGATTTGGTCTGTGTTACACGAGACTGGAGGTGGTGAGGGTCACATAGGGCACTCGGTAGGGGACCCTCAGGGTTACATGCTTACGCACTTTGAGTTTCTCACCCTGAGCATCAGACGTATCCCTTACAAAAATGTACCATGATAAGTTCACGCCAAAAATACCACAGATAGTTGTCTACAGTGTATGTGGCACCACTGTCATCATCAAAAAAAAAATTTTAAAAGACAAGATTCTGAAAACTTCTTATGTTGCGATCCTGTAGTCCCCATATGCGGCAAAATTTGAAGGAGTTTATGGACCATGAGAGTGATTAACTGGAAAAAGTAGAGTACACTGCCAAAAGCTCCTTTCCAGTACAAATATCTAAATGTATCATATTTTTTTATGATTTTCAGTAGTAAGAATAATTATACTACTTGGTGAAAACTATGATTACTTTGGTAATTCTTATTATACTTACTGTGATGAATTCTGTACATTCTTGCCCATAGTCCTGTCGGTCTAAATACCTACGCAAGGTACGAATTATGGGTTTCATTGGAGGTGAAGGATCTTATAAAATTACATTTGTAACCTACTTTTAATTTTA